ACTTAGGCTGCCTGATACTACAGCAGCGTAAGTTTTGGAAATATTTAAAATATAAAATGAAATATGAGTGTAAAATTTTTGATTTGTATTCGTGCACCCAGTCTGCTGATGCATTTCGACGCAAACAGTTCCATATTAAGCCCCTTTTTTGAATTTCTAAACAAAAATCGCCATTTGCGTCCGCTTCCCAAATCCTTCCTCAGCTGCACAAAAAGACTGGTGCTTGATTCGGAAGCGCTCGAGGCTATTGAAGCGGTAGTTTCTGCGTTATTTGGTTCCTTTAACCTTTTTAATGGCGTAGGAGCGTATCACAAATGGGCCCGATTTTTTTCATCAGTAAAAAGGTGTCAATTCTACGCGGCATGCACAATGGCATGAAACAGCTGTTCGCCAATGTGTTGAGGTAGTGACCCGTTGAGAACTTATTCGCTTCAGATGGAAAAGGAAATGCTGTTTCTTTGCTACGAGTCGCTGAATTAGTTGGCAAACCGATTCCATTCGAGGAATGTGACGTTTGTGATTTGGAGCACCTGGACGCCGTTTTCGCAAAGGTATGATTATTTCGAGTCGCACATGAGCAGTGCTCTTCCAAATACGATGTTCTCGTTTTTGGGAGGGATGGCGTCAATTTTGAGCATTGGCGTCAATTTTGAGCATGTTTCCATATTCCGTATTCTATATTTTTGTTGATGCGAGCTTACTGAGGTTACTAGACTTTATGAAGGCTAGGCTTGGCTTTCAGGAACTCATTTCTCACGTTTCAGGGGAATTTCGATGGCCTCATCCATCTGGCAGCTTTAAAAGCTGTCGGAGAATCTGTTGCAATGCCATATGAATACTACTCTAATAACCTCGTCGCTAGTCTTAACCTTATTAAAGTGAGCATTTTCTCTTTATTTTCTTCTTCTTTCTTTATACGTCTCGGGTGATATTGGAAAATTATGTAAAGTCAGCATTTAGATGTGCCAAAAGTATAATGTCAAAAACTTTGTCTTCTCATCAAGTGCAACTGTGTATGGCATTCCAAGGGAACTGCCAGTTACAGAGAACAGTCCAACTGGACAGGTTAGTTCTAACTCTTACTAAATCAGCTCAGCAATTATAGTGCGGTCTAGTTGAAAAAGAAAACGGCCCACTTCATCTTCGTGGAGGCACTGAATTGGTACTCAACAAGGCCCATACAGGCCACCTGTGAAGACCTGTAAAATCCTATGACTAAAACGGCGCACTTGCATTGTTTCAAAGCCTCATAGAAGGTACAGGTTTCTCCAGCAAGATACCTGATATTCAACACGAACCAAGAAAAGGAAGTAGTGAAAGTGTCAAATGCCCCTCCAAGCCAAACAGCGCCAAAGAAACTTCTGCAAGGTGGCGAAAAATGACATGCCCGTTACATTTAACTTTTTTAAACGTAATATAAAGCATTTTTGCGTAAAGTTCAATGCTGAAGCTTCCATTCTAGAGGAAGAAGTGTTCGAACTCTATCTTTCTGCGGAAGTGAGCTCAAAAAGCAGAAACAGCCATTCATTGGCCAAGGAACTACAAACAATGCAGTTCTGAATCCATTGATCTTTTTGTATCATTTATGGAAATGTGGGAATGCATGGTAGAGCAAGTAAGTAGTTGAGAGGCCAAAAATTTGGTGCATTGGCGACTTTAACCCGAGTTCAGAACAATATAGGTTTTACTACTTCTGCCACGACACTTCGATAAATATATGAATCGAGCCCAGTATCGAGCTTGCTGGCAACCACTGCAGGAGTCGTTTATAATTGTAAAAGTACTTGTTTTCTGCCTAGTAGAGGTACACTCCTTATCCCTGAGACGGGGTAGGCGTGGCATTTGGGCATGGCACAGAATGGGTTACTCGTGGGATATTTCAACTTGAGACAACTGTCATCTTGTTCTGTGGTGGACAAAACTATGACCACAATTTTCTCGCAATGAAAATATCTCACCGAAACTACAATCACCTCCGTGTTTAGTTGAAGTACGCAGCCACGCCTACCTCGTCTCAGGGATTCTGAGTGTAGCTCTTCTTCAAACACTGGAGCGAAGAACTGAGCTTTTTATCATGATGCGCGTAGTTTTTTTTGCAACGATCTGAGCACTTGCATCGACGCAGTTCGGCTTGGGGGTACTAATGGTACTAAACGAAACCAGGTCAGGCTTTCTTGTGAAGACCTGTAAACTCCTGTTACTAGGTAGTAGCTCACTTGTAACATTTCGTAGCTTTACAGGAGTTCACAGGTCCCACCGAAGCGTAACCTGCTATTTACGTGGTGTAGCGAAAAAGATTAGCGAAAGTGCAAAATGCCCCCTCTTAAGCCGAACCTCTTATCATATTTTTCATTTTTAAGTTCTCTTTACAGGGCATAACTAACCCATATGGACAGACTAAGTACATGATGGAACAAATATTAATTGATGTTGGAAAGGCACACCCGGTGCGTCCAGGTTTCACAATTCCCTTTGTTTATTCGGTGTTTTTGCGGAATTGTTTGATATTGTTCAGGACTGGAACATAATATTGCTGAGGTACTTCAATCCGGTTGGGGCTCATCCGAGTGGAAGAATAGGTGAAGATCCTCGAGGCGTGCCAAATAACCTCATGCCTTTCGTTAGTCAGGTGAGAGATTCTCTTACGGTTGATGCGGTAGTTGTTACAACGATTTATGAACGAAACCAATTCAGGTAGCCATAGGTAAATT